CGTTATGACCCCCACGACGATTTTGGGTTATGCCCGACAGCTACACCTAGCAAAAAATCACCAAAAATCCAAAACTATAATTTTAATTTCAGAAATATACACCATTATTCACTGATCTCGGGAAAATTCACGGAAATATCCTGCTATTCAAACTTTGTTCATAGTTCCATATAATACGTAACTTCAATTCGGCCACATCTTCTCCCCCTTGCTAGAGAATGTCAGACCACAGAGGAAGGATTAAGACAGGAGATTCCTTAAGTACTTTCGTATATATTAATACATCTGCAAAAGGATCATTAAATTTGTATTATTAAATACGAAAGTACTTAAGAAATCTTCTATCTTAATCTTTCCTTCGTTATCTAACATTGTCATTATATATAATCATTGTCATTATAGCTAAATAAATAAATAATAAATAAATAAATAAATATATAATGACATATTTTTTATTATTTTTATTATTACATATTATCGATATTATTATTAGATATTGAAAGATATTATTGATAGAAACGTTATCCTTACAGATAAAAATCTGAAAATACCATTGACATTCTACTACAAAAACAAAAAAACGGCCAACTTACTTATGAAAAACTCCCCAGACACCAAACAGAACGCCCTGAAGGAAACCAGGGAAACTCTTTCTAGGCAATTAACCATGCACAAACAACAGCGCGCCATCAAGGAACATATAATCTCTTCTCACAACCAGACCATCACCAGAGAAATCTTAACAAACAACACAGAAATTATCGATAAATACAGCGATAGCAGGAGACTCGACATCAGTGAGGCACTACACATAAAAAAAGTCAACACCAGCAATCAACAGCCAATTAATGCACAACTATATCCTACACACTTCAAGACCCCGAACCAACATTGAAGCAGCGAGAGGAGGTATGGACCAATAGGCCTTCTGCAGTTACTTCCATTCTTATGTTTTCATACCCAGTGTTTCGTGTTCTGTCTTATATTTGTCATCTCACCCAAAACTTTTGTGCCATATCACCTTACCCAAAACGAGTGTAAGTATGATGAATTTTTATGTGTAAACTAAGTCACTGAAAATGTAATAAGCATTACGAAACGCGTTCAGGCGTCAGACCAGAAATAAAGAATGAATTTTGGAGAGTTAATCTTTCATTTACCCTCGACAGTGAAGAGAAACATAAGAAATGTTGAGAAGATTCGTGTTAGAATTATTTATCTTACCCTTTCGGTCATATTCAACAACATATTTTTACAAGAAAGACTACTCGCAAAATATACGAATATATATATATATATATATATATATATATATATATATATATATATATATATATATATATATATATATTGAAAAATATGTAAATTTTGTTGTTTATTGACTATAAAGATATCTGTAATTTTCATTTGTACATAGGAATATATTACATTACCTCATTACCTGTGCCAGATCCCGAGTGAGACGGAGAGGAGAAGGGGTCCACGGTGGGGGTGGGCAGTGAAGGGGGTCACTGGGGAGCAGTGAAGGGGGTCACAGTGAGAGAGGTGTTAGCAGTGAAGGGGTCACATATAGATGTAGTAGAAGCAGCGGGGGGAGTAACACCTTGGTCTTCAACCCCAGCACCTCCCCCCCCCACCCTTACCCAAACACCCCCTCCCCGCACCCTTACCCAAACACCCCCCCCCCCTATCAGCTGGACAGTTGCGGGACAGTATCTCTCTTTTCCTGTCATTCACTCCTTCTGTCTCAATCATTTCCAACCTCACGATATCCTTTTTTATAGTTTAAGCATAGTAGTAGATCTGTGGTGGGTCACCTCCGAGCTCTGTCACGCACGGTGTTCAGTCTCAGCCTCTGTCTATTTTGTATCTGTCTATCCCTTATGGCTTCTAACTCTTGATGTTATCATTTACCTCTGCAGGGCTTATTAAGAGATAATGTAATTTGTAAGAAGATCAACGTATCCTTCTAAACAAATGTATAGAATAAAGAGGCAAACGAGTATTTTTCTTTCCCAGTGTGTGTTGTTTATTTGGCCTAAATGTCAGGTGTGTACGGCAGGGAGAGGCTGACCAGGTGTGAGACATGCAAGAAGATGCCATGTGTGAGATATATGTCAAGTGTGGGAAGGAGGGAGGCAGGGAGGCAGGGGGGGGGGGTGACCAGATGTGTGAGGTAGGGAAGGAGATGCCATGTATGAGGGGTATGTCAGGTGTGGAGGGGTTGAGGAAGTGGGCAAGGGATTTTAGAGAGGGTGAGAGAGGGAGGAGGAATAGAGGGAAGGGGAAGGGAAGGAAAGGAGAGGAGGGAGGGAGAAGGGAAGGAGTGAGGAAAAGAGAGAGTGTGAGGGAGCAGGAGGAGGAGGATGAAAATGGAAAATATTATAATAAAATAATGGAGAATGATAATAGAACACACGATGCAGCTGACCCACTTACTGGAGAACGTGAGTGTTCTCTCGTTAACACAGCCTCCCACGTTCCCCCCCCCCCACCACCTCCCACGTTCCCAACCCCCCACCTCCCACCCTCAACTCCACCTCCCTCTCCTGCCCTCCCATATGGCCCTTACTGCCTCCCACTCCAAATGTTTTAGCTGCTAAAGAAAAAAATAGACCTCAAAATAAATTCCTTTGAACTCCATCACATGTTGGCATCTCAGAACATGATAGATTTAGATTTAGATTTAGATTTGTTATTCAGGTAAAGGTGCATACATTGAGGATGAGATACAAACATAATGTTGGATTTAAAGAATAGTACATACAATACCTAAAGCCACTAATGCACATAGCGTTTTGGGGATACTGTTAACATGCTTCCAAAATCAGCCTGTAGTAGAAATTAATATTGGTGTTTCATTATCAGTGACTAAGACAATACTTAAACGAATATCTGATGAAAATTTGACTGATCTAACAAACTCGCAAGGATCCGAAAGCTGTAGCATGAAGCATTATGGTAAATACCGTGAGGAGACATTTATATATATATGGAACTAGTAGAGCAAGATCCCGGCAATATGATGTTATAGTGGCCAGAATTCACCTGGGATATATAGACGTATCTGGCAGCGTTCTCAAAACTCAAGTATCCAATACACCATGTGTCAACTTTGTGAAAGTGTCCAATACACCATGTGTCAACTTTGTGAAAGTGTCCAATACACTATGTGTCAACTTTGTGAAAGAGAAAACATGCACTCCTATAAACAATATATTGTGGAATGTCTCATATTGACTGACTTTCGCCTTCCTGGGCTGAGGTATGCTGAACTCTGTAAATACTATCTGAAAACTGGAACACTTGATGATATATTGGACTTGTTCCCAAGACTGACAATGTCATCAGTTATACAATATATGTGATGTAAGTATAACGTGAGCTTGGAAAAACATTTTAATCACCCTCTGTGGTTAATTGCTCAATAACACACTAGTTTCAACAGCAACTATCTTACCATGTCAAAATAGGGAGACTTAGACAGGTCTCAGATATATGTGAAGATAAGTTGGAGATATAATAGATATATACAAAATACTTAGAGGAGCGGAGAAGGTGTGGATAGAGATAATATTTACGACTGTTACCAAGGGAATTTCAAGTCATGGACAGAAGCTAAAGGAATACAGATACGAGTCACAGAGATGTGAGAAAATAATTTAGTTCAATACTAGTAAGAAAACTGAATATGTACTAGACGATAAGGTAGTTAAAGACAATTCCATTCACAGTTTTACAATTCAAACCAGATATGCTCTAACATGAGTAGAGTAGGAGTCATTTAATCACACAACCAGCCGCTAGAAAGGTGGGATCCAAGAGCTGAGGCTCGATCACGTAGGCCCAGATAGTAACAATGAAGGTGAGCTCACACAGTCATACAAGTACACTAAAAAGCCTTTGAAGGTGTCACAAGGAAGTGCAAGAGGCGTGGACTTCCTGGGTCTTGTGCCTAGCCTCACCTTGACATATTACCTTCCTTGTTTACTTGACAAATTTGTTACAGTAATGTGTAACACTAACTTTAAGGGAAGTGTGTAAAGAGGAGCTAAGTGTTTGTGTGTGTGTGTGTGTGTGTATGTGTGTGTGTGTGTGTGTGTGTGTGTGTGTATTCACCTATTTGTTCTTGCGGGGGTTGAGCTCTGCTCTTTCAGCCTGCCTCTCAACTGTCAATCAACTGTAACTAATTACTAACTATTTTTTTCACACACGCACACACACGCACCAGGAAGCAGCTCCGTAATAGCTGTCTAACTCCCAGGTACCTATTTACTGCTATGTAACAGGGGCATCAGGGTGAAAGAAACTTTGCCCATTTGTTTCTGCCTGGTCCGGGAATCGAACCCGGGCCATAGAATTACGAGTCCTGCACGCTGTCCGCTCAGCTACAAGACCCCCTCCCCCACAAACACAGTGTGTGTGGGAACGTTGCAGCTCTTGGGCCCTACCTTCAGTTACTGGTCGCTTATTACAATATCTCCAAACTCCCATGTTTTTTAATCAAACCATTTTCTTAAATTATGAAAGGAGTTAACTTCAGTTGCGCCTTAAGCCAACTTATTCCAATAAATCCCTGCCAGTGATTAACTTTCTGTTATACCATATTGTTTCATCCGCAAAGTTGTTAATTCATGGAACAAATTACCGGGTAACACAATAGACGTGGGATCGATGGATTGTTTCGAGCGTAGGTAAGACATATATATGACTGAGTTTGGGTGGATATAAATAGGAGCTGCCACGTGTGGCCCAATAGGCCTTCTGCTGTGTCCTTAATTCTTAAGTTCGTTTTCAAGACACGAGATTCAGCATTACCCAGTGGTAGTCACCGGAGATGAGCATTCTGGAGTATGTAGTACCGGCCTGGTACAGCGAAATAATGAAATGAGACCACGAAATAGGGAAAAGCCTCGTACCAGAGCCTCGTACCAGAACTCTGAGGCTCACACCATGAGGAGAGGCTGAGGATACATACACACATGTGCTCATTCAACCAATTACAGCCCAGTTGCTAATGGGCTACTGACCTCAGTCCTTCCTGGGTGAGGAATACCCAGAGGGGTAGGGAAGGCTCGGTCGGATGAAGCTTGAGGATGATGGGAGTCTGGTCGTGGGGGTCTGATCGGATGGTCAGGTCGAGGGATCTGGTCGGGAGGTCTGGTCGGGAGAGTCTGGTCGGGGGGTCTGGTCGGGGGGTCTGGTCGGGAGGTCTGGTCGGGGGGTCTGGTCGGGAGGTCTGGTCGGGAGAGTCTGGTCGGGGGGTCTGGTCGGGGGGTCTGGTCGGGAGGTCTGGTCGGGGGGTCTGGTCGGGAGGTCTGGTCGGGAGAGTCTGGTCGGGGGGTCTGGTCGGGGGGTCTGGTCGGGAGGTCTGGTCGGGAGGTCTGGTCGGGAGGTCTGGTCGGGAGAGTCTGGTCGGGGGGTCTGGTCGGGGGGTCTGGTCGGGAGGTCTGGTCGGGGGGTCTGGTCGGGGAGTCAGGTCGAGGAGTTAGGTCAGGGTCTGGTCGGTTGCTCAGGTCGGGGGTCATGTCGAGGTCAGTTCGGGGTGGTCAGGTTGGGGTCAGGTCGAGGGGTCGGTAGGGGTCAGGTCAGTCAGGTTTGTGGGTCAGGTCGAGTGGTCAGGTTGAGGGGCCAGGTCAGGGGGTCTGGTCCGGGGGTCTGGTCGGGGGGGGGGGTCAGGTCGTGGGGTCTTGTCGGGGGGTCTGGTCAGGGGGTCTGGTCCGGGGGTCTGGTCGGGGGTCTGGTCGGGGGGGTCTTGTCGGGGGATCTGGTCGGGGGGTCTGGTCGGGGGGTCTGGTCAGGGGGTCTGGTCAGGGGGTCAGGTCGGGGGGTCATCTTTGTTCCGAACTCATCACACATATATTTTATCAAGCACGAGTCGTGTATTCAGAATATGCACATGAACTTTTTTTCTGTGTGTACTCACCTATTTGTACTCACCTATTTGTGCTTGCGGGGGTTGAGCTTTGGCTCTTTGGTCCCGCCTCTCAACTGTCAATCAACTATTGTGGGTGACTATTATGTATGACAATCGACTATTGTCAATCAACTGTGTGTGTGTGTGTGTGTGTGTGTGTGTGTGTGTGTGTGTGTGTGTGTGTGTGTGTGTGTGTGTGTTTTCATCTAGTTGTGCTTGCGGGGGTTGATCTCTGGCTCTTCTGGCCCGCCTTTCAACTGTCAATCAATCAACGGATTTTTTTCTCACACACACACACACACAGACCCAGGAAACAGCCGGTAACAGCTGTCTAACTCCCAGGTACCTATTTACTGCTATGTAACAGGCTCATCAGAGTGAAAGAAACTCTGCCCATTTGTTTCCGCCATCGCCAGGAATCAATCCCCGGTCAACAGGACTACGTATCCAGCGTGCTGTCCACTCAGCCACCAGGCACCCTAGTGTATGTGTGAGTAAGTAATATCCAACTAACCTTGCATTCAGTGAATCTGTGTGAACAGAAATCAATCTTTATAAACCTGTATACATTCTTTTCCAAACAGAAAAAAAACAAACAGGTAATTTTATTCACGAACGACCCATATATATATATATATATATATATATATATATATATATATATATATATATATATATATATATATATATATATATATATATATATATATATATATATATATATATATATATATATATATATATATATATATATATATATATATATATATATATATATATATATATATATATATACTGTATAGTGGCCTCGACAGGGACAGGAAACCGGTGACTTAACAAACGTCCCCCACACCGAGTTACTGAGAAACAATGTCCTAAATCTATCCATCACTAACATGAAGCACATCAGCTTGGGAAGCCAGCGTGTTGATGGATCAGTAGTGGAGTCCTTGTATTTTAATCAAACCGCAAGGCCTTGAATGTAATTAGAAGAAAACAAAAAAGACTGGGTCGCGCTGCCCAGTGACCACCCACTGCCAGAAAAAGCGGTCACCGGGAGCTGGGTCTCGATCGCGTGTCCCGAGAACAGGGATTGAAAGGTCGGAAAACACCGCTATAAATGGTGGGTATGTCTGACTGCCGGGAGAGTCCAGAAGTTCTCCGTTGGGTCTTGTAGGAGTTACCGATTGAATCGGCAAATCTTGCTGCCGATTTGATGTGTATAATGTATATATATATATATATACATATATATATATATATATATATATATATATATATATATATATATATATATATATATATATATATATATATATATATATATATATATATATACACGCAACAATTATCACAAAAACACTGAGCCAAGTATGCGGAAAAGCTACATGTGAAAAAACAGAGAATGTTTAACGCGTTATCGGCTTAATTCGTCTTCATCAGAGCAAAGGAGAATGAAAATGGAAACCTTGTTGGTCAGACCTTATATCCGCCAGAGTAGATCACCTGACCACCAAGAAAAGGCGCAGGTAAGGAAACATAAGAAAGAAGGTAACTACAGAAGGCCTATTAGCCCTTACGAGGCACCTCCAAATAATATTCATAACTGGAAGATATATAAAAGGGCCAAACAGGTTAAATGGAAGCTATATTGTATTGACGTGCTATATTGAGGCTTATATGAGGATCCAACTTGTACATGCCAGGGCTTGCATTAAGGCTGTTGGTACAATGTTGGACCAGAGCAGACTCGATCACGTTTCGTTCAACGAAACTCTTACTTTTAACAATATATTTGGCCTCTCTGAAGTCGATAGAATGATCGCATAAATTGGAATGTAAATACAATGAACTGGAGTGCTGGGCTGCACGAATAGCATATGTATGTTGTTTAAATCACGATGAAAAATATATCTACAGTTATATATGTTTACGAGCAAAAGCTTTGGTTAACTCATCAGTTCTATCATGCACTACAGGAGACCAATATAGGAGAACATCCACAGCAGACACACTCTGATTCCATCGTTATTTCATTATATCTGTGTCTAGCTTCAGACACACATGGAATTCAATCATTCAAAAGGCCCAGTCTTACTGTAAATTTGCAGTAAATTCTGTATAAGTACAAATATTTGTTGCTTAATTAGCTTTTTAACTATTCGTTAACTGGTTAAACTATAGAAGAATTTAGAGTATCTAGTAGCTTATATTTTTGGATAATTTTATTATAATTTTAGTAGATAATTTTATCTATCTTAAATAATAAGATAATTTTGGGGGACCTGAATATTGTTTATTACGAAAACAGAAAATTCCCCTGACCAAAGCCCGGCTCTTAAGTGTGCCAAAAAACAACAGTTACCACTTAAGTAACGGGCCAGAGAGAAAAACCAAATTATGTTAACGAGCAAATTGTGAAGACACCTTCGTTAACTGAATATTTACCTCCGATATCAGTGATTAATGAGATACTCTGAAGGACATTAGTTGGCCCGTTTATGTAGCAGTTTTTTTTAAGAGGGGGATGGGATCAAAGGGAATGTGGCCGAGGGGGTCAGGGGGTAGATAGATAACGATAGGTAGGGAGATAGATAGCGAGAGATAAGGAGATAAATATTGATAGATAGAATGAGATACAAAGAGAGATATAGAAATATATAGAGATAGGGAAGATAGACTGACAGACCCGGGCAGCGCCGGATACACCAACCTTCCTTCCCCAGAAGCCTATAAAATATATTCCTACCTGTTCATATTTTACAGTAGGAAAATTCAACGGGAACAATTCAAAAAGAAAATGAGAAAAATCATCTCTTTGGTGAATCCGCTCGTGGACGCAACACTAATTTAAGAACCACATAAATGGTACTTTATGACGACTAGGGTGAAGGTGAGTCACTCTTGGTCACGCTTGAGTTAAGGTAAGTCATTCTTCTCACGCTAGAGCGGTGAAATTTTCCCTCGTTGTCACGCAAGAGTGATAGGAATTTCCCTCTTCAACACTTAAGCGACGTAAATGGATAATGCCACAGTATAATAGATGAATGTCACGCTTGTCGAACTTAATACCGATGGAGTGAAAATATATTAATCCTGTCACTGTAGAGTGTTGGTAAAGACATGCAACTTGATCTCCTTGGTGCAACATTGCGAAAGAGAGAGAAGAATTGCACTGGTCTCAAGCAATGCATTCGACTGCGGGCTCGGCGTTGGCAAATGTGGCCAGATAGATCTGGGTAGATACAGGTGAGCGTCCAGGTACAGGTGAATGTCCAGGTACAGGTGAACGTCCAGGTACAGGTGAACGTCCCTGGTACAGGAATACATGCATGAACATGTATACACATTCAGGAAAAGGTGCATAAAGAGGAGCTTGTGTACACTCAGTTATGGGATTACAGATATATTCATGTGCATATGTGGAAAGATGTGCACAGGTGCATATGACGACACGTGTGTACATATAGGCTCACATGAAAACTAGGTGGATAGACTGCATATTCTGGATTGCCAGAAAGCCTTTGACACAATAGCCAAGACTAGTACACAAGTAGGAGTTGCAGGCGAGAGGGAATCCCTGTAAGGGGTCGAGACCTCTGAATGGCGAGATGACAGCAGTGAAGTAGACAGGGAGATCAGAACTAGGACTTACCATGTTCCTTATCTGTGTAAATGAGCTTCCAGAGGGAATGCATTTCTTGCTCTCAATGTTCCTTGATGACGACAAAATTATAAAGATCATTTAGACGAAGGAAAACAGCATGTAACCACAAGCTAACCCGCATAAACTGAAAACTTGTATCAGCAAGCTGCTACTAGAGTTTAACTCAAGTGCAAAGTACTGAAACTAGATGTAGGGAGCAGGAGACCGAACATCAAGTAATAAATCAGAGGTGAAATTTTTCAAGAAATCTTGTTGGAGGTGAAATCCTTCAAGAATCGTGTACAAGGAAAGACCTGAAATTTGATATCAGGTCAAATCAATTTCCCGAAGTTCACATCAAGTGGATATCATCAGTCCCGTTTGCTAGGATGGGGAAGCGTAGGAACCCCCTTAAGATATTTTATACAATGTGTGAAACCATTCCTAGAATATGCGGAACCAATGTAGAAACTTTATTGAGTCAGGCAGAATCAATCTTGGAGAAAGATCTAAAGTTATGAGAAAATGAAATGGATCCTTGCGGAGGATTCGAACTGGCAACAGGAGTACTACGGAGCGCACGCCTTAAACCGCTGCACCACTATATGCATCTGAGGTATGCCATCGGCCTAGGAAACGTTAAAAAATTGAAGCCACACGTCACTGGGAGACAGAAAGTGTTTATTAATAGAGTTATTAGTACCATGAACAAACCATTTATATAACGGGTTGTACACGAACAAGGGGACAAGGTGAAGCTAAGAATGAGCCACTGAGACATTAATAATATTTGTTCAGTGTCAGAGTCGTGAACAAAGGAACATTGTGAAGTGAGGCAGTGGAGGCCGAATTCTATACACAGTTTCAGAAGTAGATAATATCACCCGCAAGCACAACTAGGAAAATACACTAAGATAAATACAATTGAAGGCGTATATTTGCAAGTATGTGTACACGTAGAGATA